GTCCATGATTTTGTTTTTCTTGAATTTGAAATCTCTACCAGCCCGCCCACTCCACACTAACGCTCTTATTGCTTATCGATCGACCGCTTGCTCGAGTAGCTAAAGACGTGTAGCCGTGTAAACTTACTCGTGCACACTCGGCGGAAGTGGAGATGTCACAGCTTGTCGTTTTCCTTTACCTCAGCAGACTCGCGGTAGCAAAGGCACCTATTTCTGGACCTGCTGACCAGGTAGATAGATACCTCTGCTTGTTGCTGGATAGTGTTCCCGACCAACACACGTGGCCAAGCGTGTGAAGACATTGCGCAGATAATCTGGAAATGCTCGTGGATGCACGGACTGGGCTGGTAGTCCTTCCCTTTTCGACGAAAGTGGTTCTGGATGTGAGACCCAAGGCTAGCAGCTATATGTCGGTGACGCGAGGCGTGTGGTAGGAACCACTTCGGTGGTCATCCGTACAAATTGGAACGATACAGAGAAGATTAGCATGGCCCCTGCGCAAGGATGACACGCATAAATCGAGAAGTATCGCACTTTTTGCTTGGTGGCGTGGTCGTGTGCTCGGCTGATGATGAGCATTGTAACCGTGCGGCTGTTAAGGTGGGAAGACGGACAGAGAAACGAAGGACGCGCAAAAGCTTAAAGCATGAGGGAAGAGGGGATCGAACCCCCGACCGCTGGGACTGGAATCCAGCGCTCTACCACTGAGCTATTCCCCCGATACCAAAACCCAATGTCCACACATGCAGACTCCATCCACACACCGATACGCATTACAAGATCCACAATTTCTACCCACTCACCCCGCCACATCTCACCCTTCTTTACTTCTACGACGAAACCACGTCACGAGCACCTCGCACACATCTCTCCGCTCATCGAAGCGTCGTTTGAAGTGGCGGAGGCTTAACGCAGCCTTCTCCAAGTTCTTGACCATGGCGGGATTCTTCTGCAGACTCTCGACTTTCTGGCTGATGCCAGGCCTGCTAAAAAGACTCTTGATCTTGTCCACAAAGGCGTAGGCTCTCTCTTCACCGCTCGCCCTGAGGTTGCGGCTTGTGATATCATCGCTTATGGGGACGTTGATGGAGTCGGGATTCCGGTTATTCATGACGACGGTGCTCTCGGCGCTGGTGAGCCCATTTAAGCACACGATCACACTGACGACGAGCAGGGCGAAAACGAAGCCTACACGCATTGGCGAGATTGAAAGTTGAGAGTTCTGATAGATTGCTTGCCGATTGTCAAATGAAGCTACGACTGGAGTGGAAAATTTGATTGGGGCGCCCAGCTTGGCAAGCTGTTCTGCAACCAGCCAGTCGAAAATGTCCGATCTGTAGCAGATAACAGATCATTCATTTATCCTGTTGCTGATAGGGTTTGGCAGTGTAAGTGATGTGCTTGTCCGGCTTGTTGCACTGCCACGGGTTTATGTTTTACGTAGGATGTACACCTGGAGAAATGTTCATCTCGGGAAAAAAATACACTACATGTATTAAATACCAGTTACGGTACTCGAAATACACAACGTTTCTGGTCTTCCTACAACAATGTACATGTAGTACGCGTGATGCACGGTGCATCACCAAATAGGAAACACCTGCGCAAATTATTATCTCCATGTACGTATGCTTTACATGTAACGTATTTTTAGGAATACAGAAGCGCGAGAAAATTCAATCCCAGTATCCTAGGAAGTAAATCATACTTAGTTCTTCGAGTCCTTGTTTCCGGTGTTACATGCCAGGATCTAGAATAATCGCTCTGCTGGTTTTGCAATTCGTTAATCGCATAGTACTGTACATTTTCACTGCTTTTATTATTGAAGTGTGTCAAGGATAATGCATCTCACTATCCTGGTACACTGTACCTGTTGTACCTGAGACCTCTCTAAGGTGATTGAATGAACTATACTATTGTATAGTGTACGCCAGAGTGTACAGGCCTCCGGCCTACTCACCACTAATTATTCAATTCACTCTTCTTTTTCTCCCTTTCCTCACAAGTGTCTACTCTACACGTCTGCTCCCATCCGCTCACCGTAACAGGTTATGAGCTCAAGCCAAGCCTCAAGCGACGACTTCCCGCGTCTTATCGGCGCAGAGAACTTTGATGTCTGGAAGGCCCGCGTGTGCGCAGCCCTCGACGGCAAGCATCTCCTCGGCTTCGTGACGAAGGCCGACTACGACGGTGTATCCGAGGAAGAGAGCGATGATAGTGGGAGCGACATGTCCGACATAGACGACTCGCCGAAGTCCAAGCCTGAGAGACTTGTTAGCTCTTCAACTTATGTACTGAGAGTTTTGTCGAAACTATCCTGTGTGTCCCACACCGTGTAACTCCGTTACAATGGCCGTCTCCGCGTCTTCCGTGCACGCTGGGAGTAGTGGATACCGAGCTGTGGTGTAGAGATTTCTCCAGAGTTGTGGATAATCGCTTGCCTGTCAACAAAGATGCGGCACCGTCGAGGATGCTCAAGCGACGAACACTCGGTCACCTGATGTACAGTGACTCC